GAGTCGTCAGCAGCAAGAGGGCAACAATGGTAATAGGTCGAGTAAGAAGATTAGTATCTTGTTCTTCTTCTTCTTCTTCTTCTGCTGCTGGTGCTGCTGCTGCTGCTGCTGCTGGTCGTCATAATATGGCAATAAAAGCACAGCAATTTTTTTGTGTAGAATTAGCGCGATTTCTTAATCCAACTGTTATGCAACAAGAAGCAGATAATCTTAATATACAACTCATCAGGTAAATCTATCTATATACATATATACATATATATATACACGCTAGGGTTTAGGGTTTGGTAGGGTTTGGTAGGGTTTGGTAGGGTTTAGGGTTGGGTATTTAGGGTCTAGGGCTTAGGTGGAGAGAATTCCATAACGATCCGGGAATGTGTGCATCTATTCTTCAGGGTTTAGGGTTTAGGGTTTAGGGTTTGGGGTTTGTGTGTATACAGGTGGCGAGTGCTGCCTTCCTTCGTTCCTGAGGCCCTCCAATCTTTGAGGGTTTTGGCTATTGGCGCGGGCACTCTTGGCTGTGGTGTTGCTCGCTTGTTAGCCTCTTGGGGTGTCAGGTAAACCCTAAACCCTAAACCCTAAACCCTAGATACTATATAGCAAGAAGGAGAAGAAGAATCGGAAGGGTTTGGGCTCGCCGTCTCGTGACTTTGTAGCTGATGTATTTAGACCTCTCCCTCCATAAACCCTAAACCCTAAACCCTAAACCCTAAACCCTAAACCCTTGTGTCTGTGCAGGGCAATAACATTTGTTGATGGAGGTCGTGTTGCATTAAACAATCCATCAAGACAGAGCCTCTTTACCCATCAAGATGCTGCTGCTGATGTCCGTCTTTATTCCTAAACCCTAAACCCTAAACCCTAAACCCTAAACCCTTAATTAACACCTCGAGTGCCTCTTCACCAGTTGCTGTGGAGAACCCTTCTTCTGTTGCTGTTTACTCTCGACTCATGTGTGCTTGCTGCTACCATCGGAGGGTTTAGGGTTTAGACTTTAGGGTTTAGGGTTTAGGGTTTGTGTACAGGGAGGTTTAGGGCGTCTTAAGGCCGAGGCTGCTCGCGATGGTATCCTCGCAGTCCGACCGGGCATGGAGTGCAACGCTGTTGTCCTCGATGTCCCCATGCCAGGTTAGCTAGCTAGCTAGCTATTTTGCTGTCCGCGTAGCTAGCTAGCTAGTTGGCTAGCTAGCTGGCTAGCTAGCTAGCTGTGCATTTAGCTCGTTGCATGCCCCGTGTATTGGTGTAGCAAGCCGTGTGTATGCATTGTGTACCTTGTGCAGTTCCCCATGTATAATACACTATTTAATATTGACAATTAAAGGGTTTAGGGTTTAGGGTTTAGGGTTTATTGGTATTATGCAGGCCATCCTCGTTTCTTAAGTGGAGATTTATTAGAAAGAGGAGTAAAAACATTAGAGAGACTAATTGATAGTCATGATGTTGTGCTGCTGCTTACTGACAGCCGCGAGTCGCGGTGGTTGCCTTCCTTAATAGTGGCGGAGCGGTAAGGAAACAGGGAGAGAGGAGGGGGTATGATTAAGGGATAAGTAAGAGGTTATATAATGATTTATATATCTAAATATATATAAAAATATGTTTTATTATATATTTCCTCTTTATTTCTCTTTTTTATATGTATTTTCTATGCGTATTCAGGCAATCTTCACCGCGTCATCACCGTCAACGGTGGGGTGTACAGGCAGCTCTAGGTAGCCCATTAGCACTTACTGTTGCCTTAGGATTTGATTCGATGCTCGTTATGCGACATGCCGTCAAAAATAATCAACTCGGCTGTTATTTCTGTCATGCACTTAATGGGCCTGCAGACTCCATTTCCCATAGGTACGTATACCTGCTGCTCCTGCTGCTGCTGCTGTTGTTGTTGTTGCTGCTGCTGCTGTTGATGGTTAGTTTGATGCTGTTGATGGTTATTTGACTCATGCATATGCTGCTTATGCTGCTGCTGCTGTTGCTGCTGCTGTTGCAGCTGCTTATTTTTGGCGCTGCTGTTTATTTTGTTGCTGCTGTTTATTTTGTTGCTGCTGTTGTTACTTCTCGTTTTGCTGCTGTCGCATATTTTGTTGCTGCTGCATATTTTGTGTTTGCTGCTGTTGCTGCTGTTGCTGCTGCTGCTGTTGCAGGACATTAGACGAGCAGTGTACAGTAACAAGACCAGGTGTAGGTGCCCTTGCTTGTTCTGTTGCTGTTGAGCTGCTGGCAGCACTGACGCAGCACCCCTTAGGGTTTGCTGCTCCCCATACGGAGACGGATCCTCTAGCAGGAGGAGGTGCTGCTGCTGCTGCAGCTGCTGCTGCAGCAGCAGCAGCAGCAGGAACGCCGCAGCAACAGCAACTACAGCAGCAACAAAAGCCACCAGGATTCTCATGTCTTGGGGCTACGCCGCATATGATTCGAGCCAACTTTGCAGGTCTGCTGCTGCTGCTGCTGCTGCTGCTGCTACACATGTGCTGCTGCTATTGCTGCGATTGCTGTTGTTATTGTTGTTGCTGCTCCTTGTGCTGCATATTAACTGATGTATTTATATATTTATATATTAATTAATTAATTAATATATATATTTATTTATATATTTATTTATGCAGATTTTAGTCTATTAAAGGAGCACCAGCAGCAATGCCCAACATGCTCGTGCTGCTCTACTGGGATCGTCTCCGCATATCGATCCCAGGGGATCGATTTTCTTAGGGAGGCAATTGGCTGTTCTTCTTGCCTAGAGAAATATTCAGGACTAACTACCCTTAAGGAAGAACTGCAGCAAAAAGCTGCAGATGTTATTAATTTATCAGATACTGAGTAAATAAATAAATATTTATTTATTTATTTATTTATTTATATATTATACTCGAAACCCTAAACCCTAAACCCTAAATTAGGGTTTAGGGTTTAGGGTTTATATACTCGAAACCCTAAACCCTAATTTTTGGGGTCGAGAAAATATGCACACAAATACACCGCAATTAATTAGTGCATATTAACACCCCTCTAACCACTAAACCCTAAACCCTAAACCCTAAACCCTTATTGAGTGTGTGTACATACACCGCAAACTATAAAAAAGCTACCTCTCTTTTTGGGGTGTACATGCAGCTGTTCCTTTTTATTTTTTTCTCCTTTTTTTTTTATTGTTAAATAAACCAGACAAAAAAGAAAAAAAAAAGTAATAAATAATTATGTGCAAACACATAAGAAACAACTAACAACAAATACAGACAAAAAATAAATAGATAAATACACACAACGTAGCAGCAGCAGCAGCAGCAGCAGCAGCAGCAGCAGCAGCAGCAAGCAACAACCCCTCATTCTCGACACGGATAGCCGATTGGCACACAGGGACACAGCTAGCTAGCTAGCTAGCTATCTACCTATCTAGCTATCTATCTAGCTATCTATCTATCTATCTAGCTAGCTAGGTGTTATATTAGTGTGCTGGTTAGGAGAAGTAGCAGAAAATCAAGCGGATCCTTGTCTGGGTTGCGCTGCGGTGTACAGGCAGCGGCAGCAGCAACAGCAGCAGCAGCAACAGCAGCAGCAGCAACAGCAGCAGTAGGGAGTCAAGAACAAAACGAATATATAGTATATAAAATATTTTAGTTATATAAGGAGAGAAAACAAGAAAAAAAAAGCTGCCTATACACCCCAACAACAAGGCCTATAAGGGAAGGGAGGAAAGGAAACCCTTCTTATGTAAGGCATTTATATAGGGGAGAAAAAAAAAAAAGAAAAATTTAATTAATTAATTAATAATTAATTAATTAATTAATAATAAATAAATAAAATAAAGAAAATTAAATACTCTTTTCTTATCGCATATATACATACAAAACAAACAAACAATATATATTATACGTATATATATATATATATATATATATATATATATA